ATTCCTGCTATTTAAAACGTATTTTAAGATGTGAAATGAAATGTCAACCAATAACACACAATCATCAGCATGGAAAAAATGATCCAGCAATGCTCATTATTTTTGTTCGTTGTTGTTGCACTTAGTACTGTGGATCCGTATGGATTTCTGATTATACATCCATCTGACACCTAGCAAAGTAGTTACCTTAAGTTTCTTTAGCATAGTTGTATCACTTCGTATGTGATACAATTCATATATAATACAAAGCATTTTGGAATGGATGCCTTGTTGTTTCTGTGTTGCATTGAATGCTGGAACAATAAAACAATAAAATCAGTTGTGATAGATATGAATGTCTTACTGTGAAGAGAAATTGATATGTGTTCATTTTTTGTTCACAAATCAAAAGCAATATTTTGCTTTCCATATTGAAAAATGTTGTGCATACTGCAGTTCTGCAGATATAGAGGTCTACCAAAACCCCTTTTCTTGGGTAAATCTGTTCATGATCTTAATCTGCAGATACAGCATTCAGTTATAACGGCTCTGTAAATTTCATCTGTTGTAAAATAATTTGCTATCTCTCTGTCTTAATGATCTTTCATGTTTTTTTTTCTCATAGCTTTGATTCCATTACTGGTGAGACTAGAGGAAGAGTCATTCATACACAAAGCTTTGGAGGACAATGCAGAAAGGTCTTTAGCGGCGATGGAAGACAATACTACAGGCTGAGTGAAAGCGTTCTTGCTTACACTTTCCAGGTATGTTTCCATTAAACACAGTTTAATATTTAGAGTCATGATTAAAAGTGGGAGAATGACACAAAGATTGTAGAGTGTCTTGGCAGGGCGGTTTCCTTAAATGCAGCTGAGCGACACCTCTCCCCTCTCTGCTGTTGCTTATTATTTTGAAATATGAGCTGGTGTATATCTTGCTAAAGCAAAGGGAAAACAAATATAATTCCTTGGATGTGATTTCTAATTCATTCACAGTTAGACTGAATGTAAAGCCATTGCCTTAGCATAGCTAGGGGCCTAATTCACCCTACAAAATCTTATGCACACAGGCTTTGGGGTGATTTGTGGAGATCTTCCAGAGATATGCTTTGTCTGAAGTCGCTGTCTCAGAGATTTGATTTGTCTCATATTTATCAAAAGCATGCCGAGCAATCCTTAATATACTTTACTTCATAATGTAAATATTTAATATACAAATATATATATATAAAATATATATACTATGCTTTTTCAATAGTGTTCAGTACTTTTTATGAAATCTGAAATTAATTGAGCCTGAAGAACATATCAGATTTTTTACACCAAGAAGGACTTGCTCTGTTCTATAAGTTATAACTTTTAACATCCTTCATGAAGGTCTTTATACAGAATTCTATCTTTCATCTTCTAGGTTAAAATTCAGAATGATTTCAGTTATGAGTTTTTCAACAGCAGCTGGTCTTATATGAAACACACAGAGAGGTATGAGATATCAAAGGGTGGACACAGGTATTCACAGAATAAAATTCAGCAACACAGTCAAAAGGTATGCATAGGTTGTCACTGTGGCTTAGTATTTTCATAAATATTTTCATATTTTTTTTCAGGTGCTTTTATAGTAAGATGCAAATATTTGTTTTATGCAGATATTTTTGGCACAAAGTACATGACAGAAAAAATCCCATAAAACCCTTACAATGAGGTCGCTGGTTTGGTTTTCAATTAGGAAGTGTTGGCTGCTATTTTCACTTTCTCTGTTTTACCTCTTTATTAGTAATTTATTTATTCACTAGCCATTTTCCTAACTATTTGAGGAAGAAAAACATTGGCTTCTTCCCATAATTGATTAATATTCCCCATTTTCTTCTAATGATTTACTGAACTTTTTTTCCCTATATCTGTCAGTGGCTTGGAGCGAAAAAATTGAAATAATTCTGTAATTAAAGCTAATTTATTTTATAGTACATTTTCCACTAGTAGAACTCAATTAAGAGAGAGATCTAGTGTCTTGAACAGCCTTATGTGCTTATGCCTTTGACTTATTTAAAAAGAAACATTAGATAAATAGTTTGAGAGTGACTCTCGATTGTGAAGTATAACCTCTATCGTATAGCAAATAAAATCATGTAAGAAATTTATACATTTTATTGCCTCCAAGCTGACACAGGACAAGCTCATTTTACCGCATTAACAATGAAACTTAGCATAACAAAGCTCAAAAGCAACTTTGAGAGGCTGAGGTGACCATTATTGTATAGGCATATAGGATTTTGTAATTCAGCAGCATCCTCAAAATGGCTAGAGCCCCTCTATTGCCTCTGATTTGCTTTCAGACAATGCTTGTTAACTTGCTACTGCCAGGCTTCTAGTGTTGGAAACAACCATTGGCTTTGAAGAGTGATATTTTCCTTTCTTACTTGCCCTTATGCTAGCTTTCAGGTACGCAGGAGGAAAAGAATGATGATACAGCAATTATAAATGAAAGTCCAAAAGATACTTCTTAACTTCAGGATAATCTTTTTGCATTCACCGAGTTGCTTAGACGTATCTAATGGCTCTGTAAAGCTGTTGGTTAGTAGCCAATATAACATGCATGTCACCTGGCTGGTAGGAACCACCATGATAGTGACATGGAGCATGACTGACGTCTTTTCCTTACACCAGAGTAAGCAGCTGATGGTTGTTGAGAACAGTGTGGAAGTTGCTCAGTTTATTAACAACCGCCCAGACTTTCTCACTCTTGCGGAGCCATTCTGGAAGGAACTGGCCAACCTTCCAGTCGTCTATGAGTACAACACCTACCGAAGACTTATTGAACGATTTGGGACTCACTTCTTACACTCTGGATCTCTAGGAGGACATTACAAAGTTGTTTTTTATATGGATACTGACAAAATCAAAGCAGAAGGTAGAGTACTACTGTTTGTTACAAGAAACAAAGTGAATAAACAAGAACAAAAATGTCTTCGCATGTTCTCCTAGCTAATATCTAAATCAAATAGGAGACTTCTATTATTTGCCACATTCTCTTCACAGGGAAAATAAAGAAGATTGGAAAAAGTGCTCAAACCACAACATTTAGTTCTAGATCCACATCTGTGACCTGCAGTGCTCTGGGTAGCAAAGATTTGGTAGTTAGTTCAGGACCTCATCAGGCTAAACTTGAATTCTATTGCCAATCTAAATCTCAAATAATGTTAAGGCTTAAAAGTTACTTGGAGATGAAGGTTGGGTAAAGCTGTGTAGAGCAGAATAAATTACAAATAGAGCAAACACCAGAGTGACGTTTATAATGGGACTCAGTGGGGAGCAGTGCTGTAGGGTTAGGGCCTGCTGAGAAAAGAGATGAAAGAAACTGTAAATCTCTCCCAGATACACTTCCCATCCCTTAGCCTCCATCCTTTGGCTTTAGCAACATGTGGACCTTCCCACAGGACACACTAGTTAGTTGCCTTCTAATGTAGGTATGGTAACTTCATGGTTTTTAGGCCAGGTTGGATGAGGCTTTGAGCAACCTGATCTCATGGAAGGTGTCCCTGCTCATGGGAGGGGGGTTGGAACCAGATGATCTTCAAGGTCCTTTCCAATCCAAACCATTCTATGATTCTTTTCTTTCTAAAGCACATCTCAAGTCAATGGGAAACTTGGAAATTAATCCAACATGCTTTCTGTGTACGGTATTGTTAACGGATCTATTGTCTGCAGGTATGAGCATAACAGACATGTACAAGTGCACCACATCAGGCTGGAACATATTCATTGCGAAAAAGAAGAAAGTAAAGTGCTCCAAACTGGATGAACTGCTACAGACTTCCTCAGGTAAATGTTCAACAGTGACTCATACAGTTGTCATGTCTTCAGCTTTCATCTCCTCCTAAATAGCTGTTCAAAATGAGGGGCAGGTGTCAACAGCTTTGTTGAACTCTGTCTTAATATGCTGAACCCAGACACCAAGTGCCTAGTTTAAAAGGGTCTCCAACACCCATAAATCATTGCTAATGCTTTCCCAGTAACTAGTACTTTTCTGGACAACCTAAGTCAGGGCTGCCAAGATATCTGCAAAACCAGATCTTATATATTATCCATGTAGGAGCTCTTGATCCAGGCACAGGTAGTTAATCTGCACTGGTAAATCCTTTCACTGCTTCTTAGTATAGTTTTTGTATGTATTGTTTCTATTTCCATTTGTCAATACAGCAATGCTGGTATTTTCTGTATTTTCCACCCTGAATCTACAGGAAGCAGTGGTAATAAGATTAAAGGAGACTCCTACATAGAAGGAGGAAGCTCAAATGCTGTTGCTGGCCTTAATTACCTCGAGCTGAATAATCCTGCTGTGAACAGTCTGAGATACTCCTCTTGGGCCAGATCAGTGACAGACTACCCCCAAGTAATTAAGCAAAAGGTAAGTTTTTTTTCCTGGAGCAGAGATAAGTAGATGGGATAACTTCAAGGAGAAATTAGGAAGCTATAGCTGGTGATTAATCAGGCTGTAGTCTGCAATCATTTTGTTTGCAGATCACTTTATAAAAAAGAAAAGAAATATCACGAGAAGAAAATTCTATGAAGGTAGCAGGATCAGCTGTATCATGAATCTAGGTCCTTCCGCAGGCCCATTCCTACAATCTTACAAGCCTTCAGTGCCACTAGTGGAGTTCTACTTAAGAGGAGAGGGTTCTAGCATTCGAAAAAGCCTGTATTTCAGATAAGTCCTTTCCTGAGATGCATATTGGCAGGTCTGTGTGACTTCCACTCAGTTTGCCAACTTCTGTGTATCCCTTTATCCCCTTCTTCTTCTCTTGGCATCCATAAGTTTAGCATAACTAGAGATTTTGAAATCCAGATACTTCTAAACTGGACATGACCATATTCACTGCTACTTTGTCTAAGTCCCTTTTGGGAAATGCCACATACTGAAGAATGGTATAAATCCAAAAGATTTATGTTAGGAAGTATTCAATTAAATGTAAAAACACAGAATGCCATAAAACAGGCAAAAGAAATGCAAAATGTTTTTGCTTATTATCATAGAATCATAGAATGGTTTGGGTTGGAAGGGACCTCAAAGATCATCTAGTTCCAACCCCCTGCCCTCCAGTACACCAGGTTGCTCAAAGCCTCATCCAACCTGGCCTTGAACACTTCCAGGGATGAGGCATCCACAACTTCTCTGGGCAACCTGTTCCAGTGCCTCACCACCCTCAGAGTGAAGAATTTTTTCCTTCTCTCTAATATAAATCTACCCTCTTTCAGTTTAAATCCATTGTCCCTTGTCCTATCACCATATACCCTTGTAAAAAGTCGCTCTCCAGCTTTCCTGTAGGCCCGCTTGAAGTACTGGAAGGCTGCAGTAAGATCACCCCGGAGCCTTCTCTTCTCCAGGCTGAACAGTCCTAACTCTCTCAGCCTGTCTTCATAGCAGAGGTGTTCCAGCCCTCAGATCATCTTTGTGGCCCTTCTCTGGACCCACTCCAGCAGCTCCATGTCCTTGCTGCTGTCAGTCTCATTGTCTTTGCTGCTCTCAATCCATTCTCCGCCCAGCCTGTAGTTGTGCTTGGGATTGCCCCAACCCACGTGCAGGACCTTGCACTTGGCCTTGTTGAACTTCATGAGGTTCTCACAGGCCCATCTCTCCAGCCTGTCAAGGTCCCTCTGGATGGCATCCCTTCCCCCCAGTGTGTCCACAACACCACACAGCTTGGTGTCGTCACTATAATTACCTTCAATCAGTGCTCAATGAGATACCATAACAGGTTGTTTAAATCTCCAGCTTTTTAGGCTGAGAATAGCTGGGTGAGAATTCAGGTTAATGTACAGTGGTGGTCTGTGTTACGTTTTTATCTGAACCATAATCTCATATCTCAAATATGTTTAAACACAACTAATCTACCACTAGATTTAAGAGATCCTGTTAAGCAGACCTGACTTTGCAGAAAAAGGTTAATATTGAATACTAACATAAGATTTTAACTAGTTAGCTAACAAATTAGAGCCTCTGTCAACTCACTTATGCGGGAGCATACATCACAAATTATTTTACACAACAAAAATGTGCTCATAAGCTCTTATATCACAACTATAACTATGTAAAATAAATATTTCTCTACTGTGTGTAGCTAACACCGTTATATGAGCTGGTAAAGGAGGTGCCCTGCTCCTCAGTCAAAAAGCATTACTTAAAACAAGCCATTGAAGAATATATGGCTGAAAATGATCCCTGCAAATGTCAGCCTTGCCAGAATGGTGGTGAGGCGGCTGTGGAAGGAACTCAGTGCGTGTGTTACTGCAAGCCTGACACCTTTGGAGCAGCCTGTGAGCTGGGAACTCTCGTGCAAGATCAGCCAGGTCAGCACTCTTTAAACTTGTGAGAGTTTGGAAATGACAAAGTGTGCTCTTCTGCTTCCAGAGTCTGTTTGTCCCACTGCTTAATTTGAATGAGTGGCTGATGTGCAGTGGCTGCTTGGGTCAGATATCGCTGCAGACATACTACATAGGAAGAGCCCAAGTCTTTGCTTAACATGTCCAAACAGTACTTAAAGAAAAACTGTTTATACTGTTAAATGCAGCGCAAAATACTAATTACTAAAACTGTAACCTTCTGTAAAAAATAAATATGCTAAGCAAATATGAGCATCAATAACTTAATTTTTGCTCTTTAATTTTTAAATTAGTTATAACTGATATCAGAGTCTAAGAGAATATAAAAATAGCTACTTTACAGATCTCATGGAATCATACTTATGTAAAAGATGAGTTTGGGTAAGATTAGATCATCACAATCTGAAATTCTTTGCAAGGTCACAGTTTGGATCATGACTAGATTTGAATGGCATGTGCATTTTTTTTTCTTAAAGGACAACAAACCTGTGAAGTTGCTTAATGTAAAATATTCTGAAATTTTGCATAGGTGTTTTTGATGGACGCTGGAGCTGCTGGTCTTCCTGGAGTCCTTGTTCAGAGGGAAGGAAATCAAGGAGTCGAACCTGTAACAACCCCTCCCCGAGTGGTGGAGGGAAGGCCTGCGTAGGGGAGCAGCGTGAGAGCAGACCATGCGAAGATGAAGAGTTGCAGCATATTCGGTAAGCAGAAAAAGAACATTTGGAGTATAACTATGGGAAGATTTAAACATTTATTTCACAAGAGTGCATAAGCTATTGAATTCAGGGAGAAGATCACTTACCGAGCTTTCATATTTAAGCTGAAGCAAAATGCAATACAGATGCTGTGAATCTGATCCAATGAAAGACTTGAAATCAAGGTAAAAGCCAGCAAACTTGACACCATTCTATTCATGTAGCCTGGCAGTGCCTGGTTTAATAATTGTGATGTAAATGGCTTGTGTAATAGTCTTGAAAATGGGCTTCACTGAGAAGTGTAGAATTTTGAAAGAAAGGGAGACTAAATTCAAACTAAATTGTGCTTTTGTTTGCTTCATAGCTTAATTGAACCACACTGTTTTGATTTATCCATGACTCCTACAGAATTCTGTTCAACTCCTCCTTTCTTGGAAAATGGATTTGTTCAAGTAAGTTATTTCTGGTACTGTGTTATCTGTCCTATCCCTACCTGCAGTGTCTCTATTGCAGTTAATACAGATATTCACTTGCAAATTTGTATTTATCTTGGTAAGCTTAGTATCAGAATTATTGTGTAGCAGCTGTCTCAGCATTTCTGCCTAGCTGAAGTTTAGAAGACATTAGCCAAGACATGTTACTAAAATAAAATAAAACAAAAAAAGCCTCAATCCCCAAACCAGAACAAAATCTTCTCGTTCTGGACTATGGTGCCTACAGAAAAAAAAGTAAACTACTTGTCCTTTACCATATACACAGATTAAAAATTTTCTGTGCCACATGAATTGCATACTAAGGAACAGAAACCTAAAGAAAAAAAACAACACAGAAAGTGAACTGTCCAAGGTTATCCAGCAAGTCTACAGCAAAATTATAAACAGATTTTAGGAATATTCAGTCTACACATTGTAACTTACCATTGTATTTCATTGTTCCCTGGTGGAACAATGATCTGGCAAAGTATCTGGCTGACTGTATCTCTGGTCTATTTAACAAGGGAGACTAAATTCCTCCCTTGGAGGAAGGGATTATGCCTTCTCTATGTCATGAGTCTGTCTAGAGTCTTTTTGCTCAATAAATAGAAAAAAACATCAGTTCAAAATCTATTAGTTGTCTCTGCACAACTGCAACCTGAGGCAAGATCCAAAATTTTGTGCTTCCTTGTTTGCCAGTGATTTTTTTTTTTTTTTTTTTGGTAGTTAATAGTTCATAGAATCATAGAATCATAGAATGGCACAGGCTGGAAGGGACCTTAGAGATCATCTAATCCAACCTCCCTGTCATGGGCAGGGACGCCTCTCAACTAGATCAGGCTACTCAAGGCTCCGTTCATCCACCCTGGCCTTGAACCCCTCCAGGGAGGGGGGCCATCCACAACTTCTCTGGGCAATTTATTCCAAAGTCTTACCACCCTTGTACTGAAGAATTTCTTCCTAAGATCTAATCTAAATCTGTTCTCCTTCAACTTAAACCCATTTCCCCTTGTCCTATCAGTGGACACTCTTGTAAACACTCCCTCCCCAGCCTTCCTGTAGGTTCCCTTCAGGTATTGGAAGGCAGTTATTACGTTCCCCCGAAGTCTTCTCTTTTCAAGGCTGAACAATCCCAGCTCCTGCAACCTGTCCTTGTAGCAGAGGTGCTCCAGCCCCTGGACATCTTTGTGGCCCTCCTCTGAACATGCTCCAACAGATCTATGTCTCTCTTATGGTGGGGACACCAGAACTGGATGCAGTATTCGAGGTGGGGTCTCACAAGAGCAGAGCAAAGGGGGAGAATCACCTCTCTTGACCTGCTGACCACGCTTCTCTTGATACATCTCAGGATGCGGTTGACCTTCTGGGCCGCATGAGTGCACTGCTGGCTCATGTTGAGCTTCTCATCTATAAACACCCCCAAATCCTTCTCTTCAGGGCTACTCTCAACCCACTCTGTGCCCAGTCTGTATTTGTGCCTAGAATTGGCCCAACCCAGGTGAAGGACCTTGCATTTTGACTTGTTGAAGCTCATGCAGTTTACACTGGCCCATTTCTCAAGCCTATCAAGGTCCCTCTGGATGGCATCTCTTCCCTCAAGTGAGTCCACGGCACCACACAACTTGGTGTCATCGCAAACTTAGTGAGGGTGCACTCAATGCCGTTATCCATGTCACTGACAAAGATGTTGAACAGCACTGGACCCAGAACAAACCCCTGAGGGACACCGCTTGACACTGGTCTCCATGTAGACATCGCACCATTGACCACAACTCTTTGAGTGCAACCATCCAGCCAGTTCTTTATCCACCGACTCGTCCATCTGTCAAATCCATGTCTCACCATTTTAGAGACAAGGATGTCATGTGGGACAGTGTCAAAC